CATACAAATATTGTCTTACCCCCTACACCACTAAAGTTTGTCCACCTTCCCATCAAGCTAATTTGAACTACAATAGTTTATATATAATCTAAAATGAAAAAGTTACAAGCTCAAATCAAACTGTATTCATGCCTTCAAACACATTCATGAGAAACATGATAGAAGTAGATCTCCTTTGCTGAAGGTCTGTCAGCTTAAGGATCTTCAGGTTCTTCATCCTTATCTTCTGCATCCACCCACCACGAAACAGGGCCCAAACCATCAAAATCAATTGATCCCTGCAAAATAGGAAACTTAATTGGAGGTTCACAGAATTCATTAGAAATCTACTTGCCAAAAGAGAACCCTCATTTAATTTGAACAAAGATGTAACAAAAGAATTGGTGTTACTCTACATAAAGGAATTAGCACAGATTTTAAAGGGAACGAAGTTTCACAAAGCAGCATTTTTGCAATAGTTCATTGCCTTTGGAGAATTTTAGAGAACTAGTGATCAAGTGATGCTACAGCTAGATGCAACCACCAGTCGTATGATAAGATTTAAAGCACAAACTTACTGTAACCACCATAGGGGCAAATGGTTTTGAGTCTTCTGGCTGCGCAATTGGAATTGGAGGAAAGTTCACACTGTGAACTTGGAATTTTATCTGCCATTTGGAACTAAAAGTTAGCATACACTTAGGCAACTGAAATTTGAGTACGTATGGATAAATCAAACCACAACAATATGAACCTCGTCTATCCCATCAATAACAAGTTCTTCATCTGAATCAGGAAACTTCCATATCCACACGACTCTATCCCTGTAATCCTCAGCAAATATTATAAACTACAAATTAAAGGGTGTTTAAAAATATATCAATATACAAGAATTCATGCAGGATTATAAATATAACGCTCTATTTGTACTTATATCAACCAGACATGGAAGGGATGGTCACCTCTTTCCTGGGTCAGGCACGGAATGGGATGGAACAGGCAAAAGATGAACAGGTACATAAATATCATTGAAAAATTCAAGGGACACTGCCATTTAAAGATTCAAAATCAGACTAAGGGTAAGACATAGATATGCTTCCTTATCAAAGAGGAGTCCATCAAAGCATAGAGTGAGAATTGCTTGCACCAAAGAGAAACTAAGAAGGAAAAACTAAATGAGACGTAGAATTAAGCTACACTCAGTTCATCTCAGTAGAATACATACGACGTAAACCATTTGCAGTAGATTCTTTAAGTTTTGCAACAATTATCTCCCCCACAAATGGACGAAACATAATCAGTGTGAACTCCACCTGCCAATTGTTGAAAAAGGGGAAAAATAAAACAAGAAACTTTAGAAAGGAAGAAGAAGAACATTGCATAGTGCATACTCAAATGAAGGGAGTATTCTGACATTAATTTCTCTGGTAATCATCTCTGCAAATCAGACATTAATTTAGGCTGAAAATCTTAATTAGTCTAAATGCCTAACAGTTACCCATTTAAGTGTAAAAAACAAATACTCAGCTTATACCAGTGATACTCACTCTCAAGGTAATTAGGCACTTCAATTTCATAGAGAAGAAGACACGCCCTAGTTGTCAGTTTTGTCACCCACAGGGAATGAAGTAAATCAAGCTGAGAACCGAGAAGAAATCCAAGCGAAAAGATTTAAAGGAACCTATGTCATAGTAATGGGAAAGAGAGAAGAAGCTGTCCATTTCTTTCTTTGTTCCTTTTTTCTAGGGTAAGGGTAGCAGTGGGGTTAGATCTCAAGAGCTTGTTGCTCTGATTCCATGTTTCAGAAAAACAAAACAAACAAAATTAGGATATAGAGAAGAAGATCATTGTATATTACATATTATCATATCAAATGAAGGTAGAGTACATTAATTTATGTACATTAATTTATGTAGGATCCAGGAAATAAATTCTCCGCTAATCTGCAGCTCCCATTTAAGCTAACAATCAGACATTAAGTAATCAATTTAACAAGTAATAAATGGCTAGCTAGCAGGCAGGCACTGACTAAGAAATAAAGAATTTAAGTGATGAATTCTAATTACACATAAGAGATATCAATCTTCTGCAGCCAGTGCACGAAGAACAATGATATGCTTCCACGTTTCGAAATCATTTTAAGTCGAAAACTCTGACTCAAACAACCAAACAAAACTCGTTTGTGTTTTCATACAACAAATAATCACATAACTTAAAGTCAGTCAAAAAATCAAAATCCAGTAGTTCAAAGCATTCCTTACAGAGAAGTATTTTATCAAATATGAAAAAATTGATTAAAACCAATCAAATCCTGATAAGAGATAAAGTAAAAAATGCCAATCTTTCAATCAAGACCTGTACAAAACAACTAGACCACAATGGAAGACGAATCATCAAAATAGATGCAATCACCAAATTTAATAATTATAAGTTAGAAAATCCACAATGGGCTCCCTAAACCACCTCCTTACACAAATTTTTGAGAGCAATTGGAAAAATACAACTCCAACCATACTTCCTATCCACCTCCTAAAATAGAGAGATCTCTAGGAGCTCCTAAATCTGAGAAGAGAGAAAGGACTCCTAGTGGCTCCTTATAATTTAATGCTCAATTACTTTAATAGTATTTTAACCATTTATTTAATGCCAACTATTTTTTGTTGTTGCTTTTGTATCTATACTTTATCCAAAAATTGAATTAAAATTTATTAAAAGCATTTATGACTCTTTAAATTAGAGAGTATGGTTGGAGTTTGAAATTTTATAGAGAACTAAAATAGTTTTATAGTGTTTTTAGCTAAATTTTAACTAAAAAATAGAGAGCATGATTGTGGATGCTCTTACAGACTGACACTTAATGCCAATGCATTGAAAACTAAACAAGTATGCTCTAAAAGCCATACAAGGAAGGCAATTAAACAAATGTAACAAAGTGTGATTTTGAAGGGCTGGAAAACGGATTTGGAGACTAGGGCATTCGAATCACCATAATAATTCAATTCTGGGTTATATGGAGTCAAGTAACAAGTTTAATTCAGATTCAAAGATTGATTCTAGCTAAAGTATGCTTAGGCCATGGTGTTTGGTCCTAACCTTGTGTTCCTAATTCCCTAATTTGATCATTTGTTGTCTAACCTAAAATTAAGCATTAGGAACCCATTAAGCATAGAAGAACATTTTAAACAACCAAGTATGTATCTAATCCCTGTTGTCGAATGTCCATACATACTCTTCCTATTCATAGTTCAATTCGTATTAAAGCATGGTGTATACTCTTAATTCAAACCAAGATAGTTAACAAACAAGTTCTAATGGTGATCAATCTTTCAAACAAGCGTGTTAACTTATAAGCATAATGAATAAGAACATGAATCATGAATCAAACTTGAAACTCCAAACTTATAAACCCAGAATATTCATGTTAGGTTACATCGAAGCCCTAGTTATGGATTTAGCTACTCATAATGGAAAAGAGACTTGAACAGAAATGAGAAAACATAATGAATACAATAAGAGTAGAAAAACCCTTTTTCTGAAGTTCTTGTGGTGTCCAAGGCTTCTCCAAGTGCTTCTCCACTTCTAATGCTTCTCCAAGAGCTTCCCCACTTCTAGAAAGATGTATGAAGGATATAGAGGTGATTTGGGATGAGTTTGAGTGAGTGGTGATGGCTAAGGAAGATGAAATTCGTAGGGAAATGAAAGAGAAGTTTGCTGAAGTTATTTTGGTGATTGTTGGAGTGTTTGGGATTTTGAGAGTGTTTGAGGATGGCTGGAGTGAATTGTGGGGTTGTGAATCCCAGGATTTGTTGTGTCTTGAATGTGGAATGGATGTGGTATTTATAGGGAGAGGGGAGTGACAAATCTGAATTCAATATGGCTAATGCATACAACACTTGCATTATAAAAGATGAATTGGTTGATGCACTTCACCAATAAATCCCACCAGCAGCCCTAGCTCATCTTCATGTCACCATGACCAAGCTTCCAACCAGAAATGATAGCTCATACCTAGCTCACCATGACCAAGCATCCAACCAGCACATGCTGAGGTCAGCATGACCAGCAACTTCAAGGGCTTACAACTTGGGCTAGGCTGAATCAAATGAAGACTTTAAGATGTCCATTGTGAAGTTAAGGCCGAAACAAATTGCTAACTCAGTTTGCTCGCTGACAAAATCCATCCTGAGCATGGTTCTGTGTTTGCTAGGTGAAGGACTCCAGATTTATCCAATGGGACTGAATTTTGGATATGTTATAGTACACACCCATTGGAACAACTTTCATGAAGAATGTTGCCTCATCCGAGCTATGTAGGTTGCTGAAACAAAGCTTGCAATATGACCTACGGAACTGGACTGGCAGGGGGCTGTAGCCAAAATGAGTTTGTCTTTAAGCTCTTCTTCTCTTCATCCAAATTAGGCCTTAACATTCATGAATTGCATGAATTATGCTCTCTTGCTCTTTTGGCCTACAAAACACACAAAGGGAGGCAAATAACTCAAAATTATAAGAAACTAAGCAAAAGAAGTAAGTAAATTGGGCATGTATATGTATGAAATTATGAGCTTAACACCATTCTCCCTCAAAACTATTTGAGTGAAACATGTTACAAATGGAAATCCACAACTTTATTATAATCCAAAGCAGCTCCAACAAAATTTATTCCACTACATACCTAAAAGCACGATTATAGTTCTTATTAGAAAACTAAACCAATCATTAACCCCTACTGCGACCCAACACCCTCTCCGAAACCATTAAATCTTTACCACCCATCAGCTAAAACACCAAAGTTTCCCAATTTTATTCGAAAACCAAAAACAAAAAACCAACAAAAGAAATCCACAAACAAGCGAAATTACCTGACCAAAACAAGCCTACTTAAGCACACCATTATCACCAATCAACAAACAAAATTTGGATATAGAGAAGATCACTGTCTATTGCATATTAAGCTAAAGGCCTAATAATCTGTATCAACGATACCAGGTATTTAGATTGGCAGTTCTCATACACCGCACAGTTTAACCGGAAATAAATTGAGGTATCTTACAATTGAAAATTGGAAATAATATGAATAAGAAAAATAAAACGAATTGAAGCAAGCAAGCTGATTCCACTTATACGAACTAAAACAACCTAAATTTGAACAAAACATAATTTACCCAAAGCACTTTATAGTCATAAAATTGAGAAGAGTAAGGTAAACAAATATATACCCTAAAAGTTGGATGACCATCATTAGGTAAGATAAAGCCATCTTTAATGGATTGTATAGCATGCACAGAAATGCAAAGTCCCAAGTTGGCGATAACCTACAAGGAACAACATCATAGTGAATCAAAGTAAAAACATTGTGAATAAGAAACAAAGGGCAAAATTCAAAATATGTATCAGGCCACAAACCTTATCTAAGAAAAGCTTCTCAAGCTCTCCCCTAACTGCATCTTCTAGACGAAGGCTAAGCAGATGAGGAGGCAGCCGCAGAGTGTGCTCAATTCGGCTGAGGTAGAACATTTGGGTTGTCTTCTAAATTATATTCCAAAATCAAGCATGCTCAGATTAAAGTCGCAGATTTTGGGCAAAGAATGCAATGTTAAATATCAACAAATTCAAGCATAATTGAAAAAAATTACCAGCCTTAGTTTCCAACAATAGCAACTCTCTCTCTCTCTCTCTTCTGTGCCGTGGACGGAGGTGCACTTGCTCTCTATGTTCGATGTCCTGCTCTCTGGTTAGCGTTAACATATAAAACAAAAACAATAAGCCAAAATACAGCAGCAACCAAAATACAAATATTGCATGCTTCAATAACAAAAAAACAATAAGCATTAACATATAAAAAACAAATTAATTGAAACAGCAACCAAAAAATGAAACAATAAGCATTAACATTGAAACAAATTAATTTTCAGACGGTTTTCTGTAAACTACAAATAAAACAAACAGCAACCAAAAATAAAAAAATGAAACAGCAACCAAAAATACAAAATAAAACAGCAACTGAAAATAACAAATAAAAAAAGCAACAAAAAATATAGAAAAATTACCAGAAATAAACACAGCCAGCAAGCCAATCCTTTCCTTAGCCTTCAAAATCAATTC